GTTTGCAGATAAAAACAGATGATTGGAGGTGCACTCACCGGACATAAAACACAACAAACTGGGTTCGCGGATATAGCGATGCGGACAAAAGCAGATGTTATTAGATGATATTTTGAAAATTCTCCATCATTTGGATTATAGTCAATAATTTCCTAAATCGAATAAAGCGTCGCTGGGATTGATATTAGACTTACATTTTTTTAAACAAACAAAACCCAACAAATTTCGATTTTTTTCATGAATTTCTTCGTAACTTTTACTACAATTTATGTTTATAAAAACACTTAAAAAATTTAACAAAAATTAAATACTATCCCAGATAACATTTATGACCCATTAAAAAATCACTCAGTGATAATCATCGGGTGAGCTCACAGTGAACTCACTATGACATCAATTGCATTTCTGTGAAATCACCTGGACCTCACCTGGAGCTCATTAGCTGAATCATTGCTGAGCTCATCCTGAGTTCTTGATGAGATCATTTGTGAAATTAATTTCACAAATGATCTCATCAAGAACTAGTTAACTCAGGATGAGCTTAGCAATGATTTAGATGAGCTCCAGGTGAGGTCCAGGTGATTTCACAGAAATGCATTTGATGTCATAGTGCCATAATTTAAATTTATAACCATAATATGGTTATAAATTTAAATTATGGCACTATGACATCAAATGCATTTCTTATATTATAAGGTTTTTCTCTGAACTATGCAAGTGCATAACAGTGTTGCCATGGTATCAGAGCTGTGCGGTGCTCGAGTACTTGTACTCAAATTTTGTACTTTAAGTACTTTTTATGTACTCGGTACTCAGTCCAGTGTACATTTCAAAAAAGTTCTTGTACTTATTTACTTATATAAAAATGTAAAAATGGACACGAGTACATTGGTTGTACTCGAGTACATTTTTTGTACTCGAGTACATTTGATGTACTCGAGTACTTTTGTTGTATTCGAGTACATTTAATGTACTGGAGTACTTTTTGTACTCGGCATCTTTGTGTTACGTTAACATAACCACTACTATAGTGGACTAGAGTCTACAGACCATACTTCACAAAGGCTTTCGATACCCCACATGCGCTTTGGTTTATCAGCTGATCTACTGTTAATCAACTAAAATGGGCAAAAGTGAGCGAAACCAACCAAAACCAACCCAAACTCAACAACACAACCCAACCGACCCCGCCCCATTGGCCCCCCCGCCCCATTGGTTAATAGAGATATAATATATGTAAGGGTAGATACATTTTTATAAATTTTGAACATTAAATAATTTATATTTATTTAAACTATAGGTAAAATAGCGCAATGATAACAAACAAAATACCCACCAGGATGATAACAAAACTTTTTGACTTCTGACAGTAGATCAGCTATTAACCGAAGCGCATGTGCGGGATCGAAAGCCTTTGTGAAGAATGGTCTGTAGACACTTCTCTATAGTGGCACTACATATTCAAATTTATCGCCATAATTATAATGCTTTAGCAGCTAAAGTTTAACGGTTCGGCAATATTCGGAATAAATCCTCGATATGGGCAAGTTGGTAAAATATCCTTGTGGTGCCTTACTTTATAGAGATATTACATATTACAAGAGGTAGTGCCCTTTTTTATCTCTGGTAGTGCCATCATAATGTTATACCATGTAATGTTTTTTTTTTAAGAAATTTGAGATTATTCTGCAATACAGAATGTGCATTAGTATTATTTTAAGTGTTTTGGTTTTTGTTATACTGGGGTAAGTAAGATTTTAAATATTATTTTGTATTTGATTACCTACTCGATTAAGTTTTTGTTATATTTGGTACGCTTAAAAAATTAGGTTATATTTTTGCATTCAATCTTGTTTTTTTGCAGTCATAAATGCATGTTACTTTAATTTCATTTCGTGCTTGCAGTTAAATAATGTTTAGGCTATTTATTAAATATAATATATAATAAATTACTTGCATGAATATATTCCTATAGGTATACCCAAAGATAATACACCCATATTTAAATAGAGTGTATTATCTTTGGGTATTCCTATAGGTAATAAAGGTTATATGTAAAAGAATAGTTAATCTATTTTAATTTTATTTTTTTCTGTTTAAAATCAAAATAATTGGTTATTTGGAAAAAAAATATTCAAACCATAAATAAATACGTGTATTAAAGAAATATAAAAATGAAGTTTTTTTTTAATATCCCTAAGTGACCTAAACCTAATATTTTGTTATGTTTAACTTTTAACAACTTTTTTTGCTAGATACTGAAACCTAAATTACATTTTAAGAGTTTTTGGAAAAAGTACTTTGTACTTTGTACTTGTACTCAAGTACATTTTTTTCAAAGTACTTGTACTTTTACTCGAGTACTTTTTTCTTGTACTCGGAACAGCTCTGCATGGTATATACCATAAGTGTTGCCAAGTTTTGGGAATGGATTTATCTTACCAAGGCTTAAAAATTATCTTATTTTTAAATATATTTTTATAATTAATTTATGAATTATACTTAGCACGTGCTAGGTATATATATATACATGTATAAAAATTAATAATCATATACAAGCTACTTTTTTAAATTTATTAAAAGTGCTCTTTTAGTTCCACCCTTACTTCTTAAGAAGTCCCATAAGCCAACTGAATGGCTTGTGCGGGTTAGGGGTAGGAACGGACCGCGGGCTTAAAGTCCCCTCCGAAGGACTATTACACAATAGGACAAACACAAATAAACAGCCATACCCTTGGTGGGATTCGAACCCATGACCTCCGGCTTGTAGTCAGCAGCACTAACCACTCGTCCACCGTCGGCGATAAAACATGTTTTAAATATTTTATATTTTATTTAAGAAAATAAATATTTATTTTAATTAATTTTAGCATTTTTAGTAAGTAAAATCATCGTGTGACTCATTAAGGATCTCACGTTGCTCATCAAAAGTGCAACACTTATGCGTGCCACAGCCACATCACTGAATGAATCAGCAATGATTTCACGTTGATGTCACAACGAATTCATCGTGTGACTCATTAAGGATATCATGTTGCTCATCAAAAGGGGAACACATATGCGTACCTCAGTGACATCACTGAATGAATCAGCAATGATTTCACGTTGATGTCACGTTGATTTCACGTTGATGTCTTAAATGATGTCATAATTGTTATCCGGGCTTGACTTCCCCTTTTTGTCATTTGAGTTTGGCACACTGCTCATGAATCACCCTGTATAATGAGGTAGACTTAAATATTGATATTTTACCTCTTGCATCCGTTGAGCAAATATCTTCGGTTTGGAAAATCTTAAAAATGGGTGTCCTGTGAAAGTTTGGTTTTTAAAAGTTAAATAAAACAACAGTACATTTTGATAAATGCAGCTCCCAGTTTTCTGGTGTTCTGATGGTCTTGTTACCCGTCTTCTCAAATTTCCTCTCACGGCTTTTAATTAATTTGACTAATGGAGCACTATTATTGTCTTAAGCAGTGTTGCCAATGGATTTTACCAATTTACTTAAAGTTTCTGGGTTTACTAAAATATTTTTTTTAAATTATACAGACCATATATAGGGGAGACCGGGGGAAATATTTCAGCTATATATGAAAGTATAGACATAGGAAATTTTTTCGAAAACTTATATAATATGGTCTAACTAATTTAGAACAAAACCGAAAAAAATGTTGTAACATTTTTTGATAAAGGCAAAAAAACACTTTAATTACATTGTTCCTCCATGTCCCGGGTATCGGGGTAAGAAGGTCCACCTTTTGAAACACCTGCACGCATTAATAATAATACCTCTTGATAGTTTTTAACGAATTTATTAAATAAATTAATTAAATAAAAACAAAAAAAAAGCAATTTCTGTTGCGCCCTGCACAAATTGAAAATTTAAAAATTATTCGCACAGCTCGCAAATGAAAAAGTCATCTTCTTCTACCCCCGCACAACTTGTGCACTGGATCCAGTCTCCTCCAACTTTACTCTCTTTGTACGGAGTCACAATAAATACATAAATCATCCACGGTTCTGCTTGCCCCAAATTAAGTGATCCTCATTACCTCAAATGTCGCTAGGCAGGAAATCACCTCGTAACATTTTTCCATGCAATAGCATTGGTAAACCAATAGGAAAGGTTTGAAGCACATTTAATATGGATCACTATTATTAACTGAATTTTCTTTAATTCCCCAGTAGTTTCTCAGGAATGGACAATATTGCGATGAAAAAGTTAGATCAACATACCAATTTTTATTTCTGTGTAGCACTTTCAAACAGCTGCTTATGGTCGGACGCCATTAACACAGCACTGACATGAAGTTTTGGCAACCTACTAACGTGAAATTTTGCGCCAAATTAAAACGTACTGTGCGGTAGACCGGTGGTCCTTATTACCCCGTTGGACCTCTCTGCCCCGGTCTCCCCTACATGTCGTTAAACCACTCCAAATAGTCTAGAACCCCAAAAAGTATTAGTGAATTTGTTAAATATCCTTTTATTAGTGACACTTCCTGCTGAAATTTTCAAAACGTTCAGTTTACAAACAAAAATACGGAAAATATGCCAGTAAATTAATTAATTGTATTCCAATCCAAAAATTTACATTCTGATTTTACTCACAAAATTCCTCACAGGCCATAAAATTACCCACAAATGTGAGGAATTACTCACAGATTGCCAACACTGGTCGTAAACCATAATAAGCAAAAAAGAATTTCTGCTCGCCTATCAAAGAATTGTTGTTTTTCTAATAGGCATAACAACTGATTTTCCAAAGGATGGATCACGAGCACACCCTTCAAATGTCGCGCAGTCTCATTTCTAGTTATTTCAAATTTGCCTCGGGATACCCTGTACTTTTCCCTTTCCTTATTCATAATATTTATTTTATAATTTAATGGGTATGCATATACAGGGTGGTCCTCAACTCGCGCCCCACCTGGAATGGTAACGACAATAGAGAGGACCACCCTGAGTATATATATTAATATGTATATATTGTTTAATTTTAGGTGAGAAAGTTCATATGTGTGATCAATGTGGTAAAAGATTTAAACTAAAATGTGCACTATCGGTTCATCAAAAGTCACACCTTAAGAGTAAAGAGTTCCAATGCTTAATTTGTCAAAGGACATTCGTAATTAACAAAGATTTACAAAGGCATCAACTTATTCATCTAGGTAAGAAAAAAAAATTTAGTTAATTAATTTTATTTTATCTGTCTTAAAAATGTGGCATAAATGTGCGTCCACACTATGTCAAATCGAATATACAGGGTGTCCCAAAAGTCAACGATATCCTTTGAAGGACTAATAGTTCAGCTCATGACTAATCAGAAACATGACCTTAGTAAAAAATCATTAAAATATTGGCATTTTTATGAATTTTGTGAAACTTGACACATAAAATCAGTTTTTCGAATGACACAAGTACAACTTTCTATATTCTTAGATTATATTTTATTTTGCGTAACCCTGAATAGGACTGCTATAAATTACCATTCAAAATTAAATTAATAGTAGATTTTGTAGCTGTGGCACTCGAAAAACTGATCTAAGGTGTCAAGTTTTACAAAATTTATAAAAATGACTATATCTCAAAAACTAACGATTTTTTACTAAGGTCAAATTTTGATTTTCTGCTTAGTCATGAGTTGGTCTATCAGTCCTCCAAAGGATATCGTTGACTTTTGGGACACTCTGTATATGTCGTTAGCCGCGGTGTGACGAATAGGTTCCTTGAAAGTCGAATCGAATCATGATGAATCCAACCCAAATAAAGTCGGATTAAAGTTAATCGAATCGAATTGCTTTGTTTAAACGCGTCGAATGACTTCTCAGTCGTCTTTTAAATAGTTTCTTTGAAGAAGGTATTTTTTTATGTTTTAGGCCCAAAATATTTAATAAACTTTTAAAATCAAAAAATTTTATTTCAAAAAAGTTGCTAAACCCCACACCGTTTCTTCACTCCAGATTTAATTTTTCTCATCAAGCAGCAGTTATTTTATAAATTTGCTGGTTTTTACCTTTTTCTTCCATTAAGGATGATGGGCCGAAACCAATATCTCTGTGTGAGAGATCGGCCCCGGCAATTTGCAGAAACTGTGGTTATAATTTAGTAATAATAAATGTTATAATTAGAGTTGGGCGTTCATCATTTGCAATATACAAAATTAATTTATAAAATTTATGTTAACAATTAAATAAAAAATATAAAATTGTTATTATTATCTCTTGGCCCTAAAATAAGATTAAAGAAACAGTTATAAAACAAGCCCAACTACGTTAAGTTGGTTTTGTTGCAGCTATTATAAACAGAATTTAGCCAATATTAGATATGGAGTCTGCTGATTGTAAGTACCATGAGAAATGTTTAAAAAATCTGATGCAAGAAAAAAGGTTGGCCCTTATTCTAAGGAAATTAAAAGAGCCTAGAGAATCTTTATACTTTTATGAAAAACAATGATAAAAAATGTCAGTTTTAATTAGACCAGGTAATAACTTAGATAGAGGGTGACTAAACTACTAAAAAAATACAGAAATGAGTCATGTACTGGAGATATATAAGGAAAATATGATCATATCGAAGATTAAGCAGAATACGATGTATAATTTATAAAGTATAAACATAATATTTTGACAGAAAAAAAAGAACCTCTTAAATTATCTGTAGTGTATGTCATGGATGATTATCCCCCTCCAGATTTTGGACAGAAATAAAAGCCTTGTTCCTAAGGTTCTTAAAGTTTTCTTTAAAATACTGAATAAGAGGCGTGGGGACAGTAATAAATGCTAATATATTCTGCGCTGTCAAACCCAGTTCCTTTGTTTCACCCTTACAAATTGGATTATCAGCTTTCTTTTTATATGAAGTATAGTTCACGAAAACTGATTGATATTGTATCAGCCCTGGTATTTTATGCCTTGTGTTCGCTTCGAAATGTCAACAATTATGAGACCATCTTTACAAATAGACTTGACAGATTTCCATTAATTCGTTCATGGCAAAGCGGATTTTAACACTCGTACCATACATGGGTGTAAAACCTTCCATGCAATAGGGGGTATACATTTAGTTACTCAGAGAAATGCTATTGCTCCAGATCAGAGAATTGCCCAAGTAAAAAAAATACTACCAGCTCAACTAGTTGGCGAAATGTGTTTGCTGTCTCCTAAAAACATTTTATGAAATCAGATTTTCCTAGCTTTATAAATATTAAGATTGAGGATCTTAAAAAAATTATTTGTTTCGCCCGGGCTTAATTTGACTTTTCGATAAGTGGAGAGATGTACCCGCTATTTCTACAAACTGAGCTAAATCGGGTGTATGATTGGTGCATTTTCAACAAACTCAAACTTAATATTAAAAAATGCAAATACTGTTCCTATACTCTAAAGAGAACAAAAGTTACTTTTAATTATCAAATTAATAACGTTAACTTACAGCTAACTCAATGTGTTGATGATTTGGGCGTTACTTTTGATAGCAAGTTGTCATTTACTGATCATGTCAATCGTGTTGTTTCTAGTAGTTACAAGTTATTAGGTTTTATTAGCAGAAACTCTATCGGATTTTCAAATCAATTCGCTTTGATATCTTTATATTTTTGCATCGTTCGATCAAAACTAGAGTATTGTTCCATTGTATGGAGTCCCTACTATAACAATTATATTGACATGCTCGAAAATATTCAGCGTAAATTTCTTAAATTACTCGCTTTTCGTTTAGATAACATTTACCCCGCTAGAGGTATAAATCATCAACTTTTGTTAGACCGCTTTAATATGGATTCCCTACAATGCAGGAGAGCTTGTTCCGGTCTTAAATTCTTATTTAAGCTTTTTAATAACCAAATTGATTCGGCCAATATTTTATTTCTATTTAATATTCATGTACCCAGATCTAATTCTCGATCTAGTGATATGTTCTACTCTGACAATGCACGAACAATAACCTTAATTAAATCACCAGTGTTTACCATGTCAAGAAATTATAACTGTATTAGTCATGACTGTGATTTGTTTTTTACTAGTTTAAATGTTATTATTAGGGTGGCAAGGACTTATTTTTAATTTTTTTGTAGTTTAGTATTAGGTAATTTTATTTTTAGTAAATGAAATGTAAACCTTATTTATATTTTTGTTCTGTTATTGGAGTTTTACTCCGTTGGGCAAATAAATGAATTATTATTATTATTATTATTATTATTTCAGGATGGAGTCGTTTTATGGGGCAAATCACAACCTTTTTTGCTTGCCTGCCATTTATTAATGCTTCACCAAGTGATCAATCACAGCAAAGTCCAATATTTTTATTAGTCAATTCCATCGCATTTATCAAAATTTAATAAAATGTTATTCAAATATTAGACCCCTGATATACACTGTATATTATACCGACATTTTCGATTAGCCTCTGTACATAAAGGCGAGATTTATAGTAGCTTGTCTATAAGGAGATTTAATTTTTGCAAATCTTATCATTAGAATTTACTGATGTCTTTTTTAAAGGCATTGCCCTAGACCAAACCAAATAAACGAATATCTCAATAGGGGGGGTATTTTAAAATAAACTTTCTCCATGTCCTACAGATGTCGCTGTGTCTAATGACGTCACGTCCTTGGCATATGGACTTGTTTAATCAGTGGGTTAAGTTGTGTCAAAATAAACGACTTTTTGAAACGACACCTGAAAAAGTCTTCAAAAACTGCAGAGTGTGTTCAAAGCATTTTGCTGAGAAAGACTTTATAGCTAATAGAAGGCTTAATCGTCAGGCTTACCCAACAAAATTATTACCAGGTATTTTTAAGTTTTATTAAATTTAGTTTTAAAAAATGTAGAGGTTTGTTCTTTTTTTAATACAAGTTTTTTGCTAAATTTTAAGGGGAAATATTAGGTTTTTTTATGTTATAACCTTTTATTGTATGTACTTTTATTACTAATATTTTTTAAGAGGTATATTTTATATATATTTTTGTAATACATAATAAAGAAATATTTCTAACTCAAATTACTTTAATTATACTCTTAACTATTTTTATTTTAATTTGTATATTTAAAATTAAATTTTTATATATAGACCCAATGTGGCCCAATTCTGTAAAAAAAGGTATAATTTGTTTGATTATATTATTTATTGTATTATAACCCTAGACCAAACCAATAGGTTTGGTCTAGGATTATAACTATAAAAATGATAAAATGCAAATTGTCATTTTATGATATTTAATTATTGTTGATTGTGTAAAATATTTAGTTATTTAGTTAAGGTTATTTGGTAACGCTGACAATCTCAAATAATAAAATAAATTTGGTTTGGTCTAGGGGCATTGCTCCCAACAGAGAAAATTCTGACAGGCCTACTCAAGAACAGTTAAAGCACATATTTTAGCTTACACTACACTGCTGACAATTATCTTTAAGACAATGGATTTAACCTTAAACTTTCAAGAAAACTTATAGAGTTTATAAATGACGCAGATAATTATCTTTATCTAACTTAAGTCTGTGATTTTGTCAGCACCTTGGCTTTGGATCCAGTACTTTTAAATGGTTACGCTTGTTATTAATTTATTGTTGCTAATAGAACAGCCAACTGAAACCTTTACCTTCAAATTATGTAACAGATGCTCTTGTACTTTTACGCCAGCGGGCATTTTTTATATGCCTAATGCTGTCACCTGTTAAATAAAATGAAAGCTGAAGAACATAAAAAGTTCACGGGTGGTGGGTTATATGTTGAGAAGCAAGGGCTAAAAGGGCAGTGGTTTAAAAAAGTTGATGGAATGTTTATGCAACACTATCATTTTTCCGATGTTCCAGAAATATTGTCTCTTGGCACTGGTGTTGTAGGATACAGCAGAATTAACTGTCACATGGCTAAGGAGATTGGTCTTATTTCAACTGATATAATTGTACAGAGACAGATACAGAGTTTTGCCACTTGATAACGATGAAAAATTAAATAAAAATACATAATGAAAGTATTTCCATCAATTCAACTATTTTTTTAGAGAATCACTGATGAAGAACTTGAAGAGTTTCTGAAATACGAAGTGTACCCGTCCATTGCCAATTTTCGACGACTGTGGTATGCGAAAAGGAACCAAGTCCACTCTATACAAAGTATTTACACATTTATTATTATTATTATTTACAAGGGTGTGTGTATGTCATAAATGGAGAATATTTGTTTCCTAGTGTCGTGTGGATCAGGGGTCAATCTATTTCATCAATTTGTGAAAGTTACATTATATTTGATCCAAGTACAATACCATAGTTGTATGCGATGACTGCTCTCAAGAAGAAAATTGCAGAGGTACTTACTAAATTTACTAAGCAAGCACGAAGATCACGCAAACAAACGTCAGTGCACACCATGGTTTTGATGTTTAATGAAACCATGGTGAAGAACGTCTGATTAGCAGCATCTTACATTCGCACAAAGCGGGCACTAAAAGATGCATATTACACTTTTTTTTTGTCACCATAGTAATGGACCCTGCACAACAACATAACTCTGTAGTTATCATGGGTAAATACTTAGATATGCTGGTGATCATGATTGGTCGCTGTAGAGTTTCCATTATGATAATCCCTTACCTTTCCCATAAATGTGGAAACATTGGACATAAAAGAGCCAAACTCACACATTTAAAAAGGAACTTAAAAAAATGCCAATCTCGTAAATAAGGAGAAGGAAGAAAAATTATTTTTTTGTGGGCATAATAGCTGACAAAGAAGCACCTTAATACAATTTTTTTCTTGTCTAGGGAGCACCCGATTAATGTTTGAAAGCTGGAAAATCCGGTCGTAATCAAAATTTCAAAATTTGGTGGTTAAAGCAAATGCAAAATTTACACTGGCGCACTGTGGGCCCAATGTCCAAACTAGGTTGCATTAATTCAATTTTTTTCTATTTACTTAAAACTTTAAAATGAAACTTTAAAATGAGTTCTAGCGAAGAAGACCTTCCGCAAGATTTTGCTAAAGAGGCAATTAATTTTCTTTCTTAAAAATCGAAAAAGCGATATGAAAATGAATAGTTTGTTAACAGAATGGTTGGACAAGCGCGGAGTAAATCTTTTTCCTACAAAATCAAATAGGGCTAGACAAGGTACAAAAACTCTTGCTAATGTAAAATTGTTAAAAAAAAGGGAGGAAATTAAGTTTTCTAGTAAGGTAGTAGAAAAAACATGTTTTCCAAATGCCCAGAAGTTGAATTGATTTTTGATGTTTCACTTGTAAAGTTTCGACTAACCGTTCGTGAAATATTTATATTTAAAATAAACGTACCTACCTACTTAAAATTAAAACAATATATTTTTCTTCAAAACATTTTTAGGGATTTTTTAAGAATAATAAAAAAAACGGTTTAAAGTGGCCCATTTGATACATTTTGTACCACTAAATAAATCCTTAAGTTAAGGCTATGACAGTAATAAACAAATAAAAATAGTTTTTAATATTGTTTTGTAATATTTTTTTTAGAAAATAAGGCTTTCACCTGTAGCATTTGTAAAACAAGTTTTAGAAGAAAAGACAATTTAAGCAGGCATATAAAAAATATCCACCCTGGAAAAAAAGCAAAAATTATAGAGATAAAGACATCAGTAAGTTCAGAAGAACCTATGGAAAATCCTAATGCTATTAAGGTTATAACTGCTTCACCAGTGTTTACTAAACCAACTTATGAAATATCAACCCAAAAGATGGGCATTAGAAACAGCAGTGTAATAAATGGTCCTCCAAAACTTGCTTTTAAAACTCCTGCATTTAAAACTAATTATAATATAAATAGGTAAATACAAATCTGCATAAACAAGTACAAGTTTAATATTTTATATTTTTAGGGAACTTCAATCTCAGAAAACTTATGATATAGCTGAATCTGTAAATATCTGTCAGAAAATCCTTTCCCCTCATACTGCAACCATTAAAACAATTAATGAACCAAGTTCTTCCCAAATTTGTCAAACGACCTTAGAATCACATTCAACTCCTCTTCACTATGAAACTTCTTTTCAAAACCAAAAACACGCACAGATTAAAAATATTAAGTTTAAAGTCCCGATTCAATATACAAATAATCATAAAACGGAAGAAAGGTGCAGTAATTTAATTCATGATACAATTTTAAATAAAGGGAATAAGCACCTGCATACTACCAACGACAATAATTTTTGTAGTGAAATAGATAACAGACAACACGCAGCCACCAGCGTAATAGTTAATAACCAGCCAGGTAATATGCATTGGAGACGACGCACATCACAAACTTTAATTGCAAAACAATGAAGACTATTTATAAATAAATATCAATGTGTAAATTATATTATAACGAAAAAAAATAAATAGTAATAATATACATGGTCTTTTATTTAATTTAATAATTTACAAGTAAATTAAGTAAAACCCTGTTATTTTATACTTTTATGGAGTTAATAACAAATAACTAGTTCAGGCCTCAATATGTAAAATGTTAATAGCCAAAATAATACAAAACATAAACCATCATTATCTGGTGCTTTATGTCCTTAAAAATTGATACCCAAAAATCTAATAAAGATTGTTTTTTATAAATCATAATTTAAATTTAGGGTTTTACCTGTTAAGAGCTGTGACATTTCGGACAATTCAAGTTCAGAGTATGATCCAGATTTTAAAAGAATAGATGACTCAGACAGAGCGGCAGCCAAAATAGCAAGTGCCACCTTAGAAGACATGGTATTTATTTCTAAAAAGAACAAAGAAAAAGTGATTGACAGATCGACTCTCAGAAGGCAAAGTCAAAAGAAACGAAATTGGCTGAAAGAAGGTTAAAGAAGTTTAATTTTGAAAGGATTATTTTTCGACGGACGAAAAGACCACAAGAAGTGAAAGAAAAACTATAGAAAAATAATTAAAGAGGAACATGTCATATGTCCCCAAAGTCTTCATCTGCTAACTGTGATATACTGCAATAACATTGATACACTAAAATTAAAGGCAATTGGAAGTAACAGAACTGCGGTTAACACAAGAAGCAAAGAATACTTGAATTCCGACTAAAAAACCCTACAACAGCTAATTTGCTTACTTCATGCCATTGAGCTTCTATTAAGACACTTTTTGGGTGGAATAATCGTCGTCAATATCCTAAGCACGTTTTACATAAATACGTCTTGCCAATCGGATGTCTTTACTAAAGAATCTTTAGGCATGATCGTTACACGCTTGGCGTGGATGGCGAAAAGTCGACCAAGTATGGCTTCTTGCAATGCCATGACGGCGGAGCTTTGAAAAGGCAATTTACTGATAAGCAGTTCGGTACTTTTCTAGTAACGATGGATCTCACAGAGAGCTACTGTTCCAGGCCTGTAACGATGTGATTTCTTGGCTTCTCCGGTGGAGAACGTGCGGCTTTGGTGGCTAACTGTTTACGTGGAGCTTTTCCAACATTTGATTTACGGGCAGTTTGCTTGGTACGTGCCATTTTGCGTAGATTCAAAAATTTACACGAGTAACGTTCTTAAACGGTGAGCGGTACTGAACTAATGATGCGACGGACGGGTCGACACGACGATTATATAGATTCGTCAAACTTTACTTGCACTGGATTAGGTGAATCTAACTCGTATGCAAGTGGGCGGAGCCATAATAGTTAACAAAACCCGGCGCGCAATAGTGCCCAGCTACAAAATCACGACAACATGTGGAAGGTGGTTAAAATAGTAAGAACCAACCCACAAACCAGGACCGGACGGATTCACAAACCAGCTGTTTAAGAATCTCCCAGCCAAGGTGCTACTTGGCCTCTTAAACGCAATACTTGATCTTGAAGTTGTGATGATCCCGAAGGCAAAACAACATCCGGAGAGCTACTGCCCGATAAGTCTTCTCTCAGCCCTTGGAAAATTAGAAGAGAAGACCATCCACTTGAGGAAGAGGTTGAGGCCAGAAACGTCCTACCCCGAGCAATTTGGTTTCCGCCCGGGCCACTCGATGGAGCACCAAACAGTTAGAATCAAGATGATCATCGAAGCAGCCAACCACCATGACCCAACAGGAATCGTCCTAATGGACCTAATCGACCGGGTGTGGCACACCGGCCTGACTCTGAAGATGACTAATTTCGGGATACCGGACTATCTAACGAAACTGATCATGAAATCATACTTAGGAGACAGATCCTTTAGAGTCAGAGTCGAGGGAAAGAAATCAACGAGTAAGGGAATACACGCAGGAGTCCCACAAGGCTCCATTCTCGGCCCCCTGTATAACATATATACGGCAGACATCACCCACACCCAAGGCACATCACTGGCGCTCTATGCGGATGACACCGCCCTCATGGCCTCAAGCAGGGATCCTAAATTGATTCATAAGACCTTGAACAACGCCTTAAGAGAACTGGATAAGTGGTTCGATAAATAAAAAATTAAAGTCAACCCAGTAAAAAACCTCTTATTATGCACGTTGGTACATTTGGCGTTTTCAACTTAAAAAATATATATATCTTCCAAACATTTTTTTTAATAGTGATACAGGGTGTCCGAACGAGAGCAGGTAGATTTGGTTTTTGAATAACTAGGATACAAATAAAACAATTATTAATTTTAGGGTATGCATGTTTAATATAGACCTGGCAGTTATGTGTGAAACACTATATCATTCAAATGGCCTCCTCTGCTAGCCACACAGAGACGCGCCCTTTTGACTAAGTTTTGCATAACATTTTCGCATGTTTACACCTCCAGCCCACATAGCGCACCAGACTTTAACTCGCCGAGGATGTAGAGGCTTCTCGTGTATCTGTCGAGGATTTTCACTCCCCCAAATACGGCTGTTTTGTTTATTCACGAAGCCGCTGAGGTCGAAATAAGCTTCATCGCTCATGATGATTTTCTTCCAAAATTCAGGATCATTTTCAATCGCTTCCAACATCCAATTGCTGTAATCACGACGCAGCCCATGGTCAGTTGGTTGAAGAGCTTGAGTCAACTGGATCTTATATAGGTGTAGGTGCAGGTCTTTACACAAAATTTTCTGTAAAGACGACCGAGACAGACCGAGTTCCTGTGAATGATGGAGGTGTTCGGCCTTTCAGTTACGCTTTCACGTACAGCAGCAATGTTTTCTTGTGAACGAGCCCTCCGAGGTGCTGGAGGCTTTGGGTGATTCGCCACCGAAGCAGTTTCTTTGAATACTGCCAATAAGCGCTGAACTGTGCTTACTGCAGGCACATTATTGCGATCCAAAATTTCACGTAATTTTCGCCGAGTGACCGTAATTGAACACTAACTTTGGTAATACGTTTTAACTATTGAAACGCGTTGATCATACATGTACCTCTGCATTATGAATTTGCCAGGTCTCTACTTTACATCTGTCAAAATTGAAGTGTCAAAACCAAAATCCACAAAAATGGCGGGCAATCCAAATCTACCTGCTCTCGTTCGGACACCCTGTATTATTAGCTTTACTTTGCAAGAAAAATTAAAATCGCGTATGTAGCCGTTGTGGAGATATACACTTAAATGTATTTTTTTATAAATTATTGCGCAACAGTAAGTTTCTGTGTATCGCCTCTTGTGTTGAGGTTTCTTGGACATTTTTCTATTTCAGTGGCTTCATGGATGGTACGTTTGGTTCTGTATTCGATGCTAACCAAGACCCTTTAGAAAAGGATTTGATCAATTCATAATTTTATAATAACCGCTGTTTTTTTAAAAACAGTCTGCTGTTTTTTAAAAACAGTGTGGTGTTGGAGGATTTGATAATAATAATAAATATACTAGTTTCGTAAAATTAATTTAGTATTTAAAAATGATGTTTTCTCCGAATTTCACAAAACTTTGCCAAATCATTGTCCTATTGGTCTACCTTAATTTTCCAAATGGGGGGCAAAAAGGATTAGCGGGTTGCAGAGATACAGGGGCCTGAAAATTTATTTTTTTTTCTCGTGCGCTTAAAAGACGTCGAAATATTTATGTATATAATAATTTTTTTTTAAATTGATAATCAACATATCGTATAGCATTTTTTCCACGCTTTACGATAAAAATGGTCTCGAAAGCGAGAAAAAATGTTTGGTTATAAAAAAAACGATTTTAAAAATATATTTGTTTTTTTCTCGAAATGCGACACATTGGATTTTTTTTAAATTAATGTCAAAAGAAAGCTTTTTCAATTCCCTAAATGTTGATGTAATATGAAGATGGGATCCCAAGAATAAGTCGAAAAAAATAAGGGTTGAAGCGCGTAGGGACCGTGCGGCGAGCAGCTACTATGCCTATTGCAGCGGTGCTCGGTCTACTACTTAGTGGATTAATTGGAGAGGGTCAATACAACTTTTAAAATTATTTTTATATAGAAATAAATGTATTTTTCGATGGGTTTAAGTCAAAACAGCACAAGCGCCAAATTTTTTTTTTTTTAGAAGAAGGTCGATAGAGAATTTAATTCTCTATCGACCTGCAGGTACATGTACTTCTAACAAATTTAAAATTTTTGGCGCTTGTGTCGTTTTGCCTTAAACTCATTGATTTTATTGCAATAGTTCAAATTAATAGCAATTAAAACCCATGTTTTGGTTTTTGTAGTCGAAAAAGAAAAATGTAGAAAGTAATAAGTTGCTCTTACTCTGAATAAATTACACGTGCACGTAAATGTAAATAAGTTCTACTATTTAATGCAATTGCAAGTGTCTCACAATAATAATACACATTTTTCATGTAAACTTTTTATTGAAAATTTTAGCCATTTTTGTATTTTTGCGAAAAGTCCAAAAATCCTTTTCCGTTAGGAACAAATGAGTGATATTTCTGTGTCCCAGGAAATGATTTTGCAGAATCAAATCGCTTTTTAAGAATTTCTGCTGTTTTCATATGATTCATTCTGAAAAATACTTTTGTTTCTTTCAAACTTTTTTGAGCCTATTTATACAAATCTTTGGCATCTAGAATTGGATTTTTTTATTTTGCATAAGATTTTTAAAGTTGTACTTGCTTTTGAAATGTTGTGCGGCGCCATCAGTAAAATAAAAACATTTTTTAGGTATAAAATTTTGTTTTAAATAATTCATCAAAATTTTCTGGAATTCATAAACTGTGACAGTCATGCTTTAGGCAATCCGATAAAATTGCTGCACTAAAATAATGAAGTTTTTCATTTTCCTTGTAATAAATGACGGTTGTGAAAATCGTAACTTGGTCATTATTCCAATGAAATGACTGATTCGCATTTTGTACTACAAATGCGTAATTTTCAGCGAAGTCGCACAATACAAGAAATTCTCCAGTTTGTAAATTATTCTTAAAAAGGGATTTGATTCTACAAAATCAATTCCTGGGACACAAAAATATAACTCATTTGTTC